GGGGGGTTGTACTAGCAGGATGATATTGTCACTATTAGAACGATGAACATGGGGGTGGTTGGAGGGCGCCACTGGTTGGTCCTAGATCTACTACTTTTCTTTTCCTCTGTAGTTTCCTGTTTGCCTGTCTTGCTTGTAACCTACACTAAGTGACAGTTATTTTGTCGATGTGCTTCTCTTTACTTAAAACGCAACGACGATGAACTTCGGTTTTGGAACAAAAGATCTATGTTTGTATCATGCATTTTGGTTTTGTATGTTTGTTGTTGGTTGTTGTTGTTGTTGTTTTTTCGACTTAAAAAAAATTGTAGTCATTCTACTTCAATTAAGATCAGTAAGTGATATAAATCCGCTAGATCGAATTTTTCACGTCTTACTTACTTTTGCTTTTTTTTTTTCTTCTCAGAGTCCCCAACACTGGACAACCCAGAAAATTCACATGACCTCCAAGTCCCACGAGGAAGGAAAGCTGAGATCTTGAGAGTTGTAGTATACAGTTTCGTGAGTTAAGGTTCTGGATTTTGCCTCATCGTCTCGGGAGAAGTGTATACTACAAGACAGGTCATCTCATAAAAAGGATGGTCTCAAGTGGTCTTAATTACTTGGATTCAACGTCTTTGTTTTCTTACTGCATCCAGTAATTTGCTGTGAAACTGCAGTGTCTATCCAAGATTTTATTTGCAGTACACCGTCTACCTTGAGCGTCATCGAGAGCATTATCTTTCCGTCATTTTAATTCGTAAAAAAGGACCAATATTGAATTTTAGCAAGGAAAACGTATTCTCGAGGTATATAAATTATCGTGACTTGGGCCGTAAGGTTTTAGCCATTGTGAAGTTAAAGTACACACATATGTTGATATTGTGCCTTTGCAAGCTTCCTTTTTAGCCAGTTTGCGGCCCGTTTCTTGTCAAACTCCAATCAGCTCTTTAAGCGCTGCGTCACGATTTCTGCGTTGGCTGCCAATCAGCGAGCGTGACGCGTCAGTCGTATTTCTAGTGTCCACTGCAGACGACTTGTTTTGCGCAGAAAACGGCCTTCCTTTGTCCACGTCATCGGCGAGATTAAGAGGCAAGCTTCACTACAAACCCACGCATGTTTTAAGGGTCTTTTATCAGTTGGTGTCCATGTGGCTGTGCAGTGTCATTGCTGCTAAATATTTGTTATTCTTTTAGCCTTCCCATTTATTCTTTTCCCTCTACCTCGAAAAGGGGAAGCGTAGAAGTTTTAGTATTCTAAGTGGTATTGATAATTCGTGTTTGATCCTAAAAACGTACAACAGAAAACAATTTTGTGAAAAGGAAAAAGGAAAAGTTATTATAGTAGGTAGGCTGTGGTGAGGTCATCGAAGGGTGACGTCATGTTCTGAGGAAATTCCCGATTAGCAGAGCGGAGAAGGTCAAGGATGGAGGAAGGGGAGAGGAGCCCAGTCGTTGCCCAGCGGCCTAACGGTCAGGCAGGGGCTGGCGTTTGGAAGGAACCGGCGTCTAGTAAGTCACCAGCCTCAGCAGCATCAACTACAACACCTTCCGCATCAGCAGCATCATCGTCACCACCGTCTGCTGGACGTGGTGGTGCTGCCCGTGGTGGTGCTGCCCGTGGTGGTGCTGCCCGTGGTGGTGGTGGGGCCTCGGCCTCCGGTGGCTTTGCCGGTCTCGCCAAGATGTTGGGCTCTAAAGCCAAAGAAGCCAAAGCTGCGACTGCCAGTGGTGAGTTGTCTGGGGGGTTTGGTTGTTTTCGTTGTTGTCGTTGTAGTTGTTGGATTGTGTTGTTGCTGTTGTTGTTGTTATTGTATTGATGTTTTTGTTGTTGTTATTGTTGTTGTTGTTGTTGTTTTTTTTGTTTTTTTTTGGGGGGGAGGTTACGGGAAGATAGCTGGGTGACAGGGAAAGACGAGAATGAGAATAACCTAGTATTTTTAGAGCGTTTGTGCTGGGAAATGAGTGGCCAACCTTGATTGTCGATTTCTATTTTATATCTGGCTTTTAAAGATAAATATAATAACCATTGCGCTGATGTGCTTATATTTTACTCAAAGCTAAGAATAGTCTGTGAGAGGCAACAAATAGCCGTTGCCGTCGACTGTCACTGTAGTCTCTCTCTCTCTCTCTCTCTCTCTCTCTCTCTCTCTCTCTCTCTCTCTCTCTCTCTCTCTCTCTCTCTCTCTCTCTCTCTCTCTCTCTCCGGTGGGTGGTTGGCGGGTGCTCTGATGTGATTTGCTCCTTCTTTCCTATCAAACATATTACTTCCGTATCTCTCCTTTTTTCTGTGTGTTATTCTTTTGTAACACCTCGAATCTTGAGCACTTATATGAGAGGAGGCTGGAGGGGGCCCACTGGTAGGTCCTACTGCTTCAGTTTCCGTCTATTGTTTCTGTCTGTCTGTCTGTCTGTCTGTCTGTCTGTCTGTCTGTCTGTCTGTCTGTCT